GGGAGATGTAGTCGCCGGAGGAGGGAGGGCCTGGGGGGTAGGAGCGGTGGGGGGTGGTGGCCCTGGCGACCCTCCTTGGCACCGCCGTGGACTGCGGGACAGCCCGGGCCTCTGATCGGCTCGCCTCTCCACCCGCCCTGTACTAACGCAGCCAACACCTCTGGGGTCTCCCTCCAACACGCATTCTGCATTTAACCCGCTCCCCGCAGCTCCCAATCCTCCGTGCACTCAGGACCCAGCGGGCACTTGGTGCCTTCCAGCCTCTTCCGTGGGGTCTCGGAGGCCACTCCTGCGCCCCCACCCGATCACAGTTGCTACTGGATTGTAACAACCACCCTCTCGTTCTCCTTATAGGCTACCCCACCAACAAAGCGCACAGCCATCGAGCCCCCTCTGTCCACAGAGACCCCATAGGACCCAGTAGAACTGCCCTGGTGGGTTTCAGGGGGCAGAAAACCTTATCTTGGTTCCCGCAGAGCGTCTACTCTGACGGTCACCCACGATGCCATCAGGGCTCCTTGCACGCAGAGGCTGGGCATCAGGGATTTGGACAGAGGACAACGGGCATTTTGCTTGTCCCTAGTCCTGTGATCTCAGTTGGGAAGACCCTGCCCCTAGGAGCTACTTGAGAAATGAGCACCTTGAAGCCCGCTGGGGCCTGCTTGACTTAGATGGCCGGTGATTCACTCCTGTGCAAACCTGGACTGTGGCCTCTTTGTGTGGTGTGGGCTTCTTCTCAGTGTGGTGCACTTGGGGGAGGTGGGCTTTAACAAGGTCACTAAGGCTCCCAAAGCAAGCAAGGTAGAAGCTGTACCTATGCGCCCCTCCCACCCTTTTTTTTTTGGACATAGCTTTGAGTTACACTTCTGGCACAAGATTCAGCAGGACCAGACATAAACTCCACTCCTTTCCCCAAAAGGTGTATCAGGATCACATTGGACAAGCCTGGACTTTGACTCTCTGGGACTTGTGTTCATTTTCTGCAGCTTCAGCCTGAATTCAAACCAAACCAAAACAACAACAACAAAAACACAAAAACTCGTTGTCAAAGAGTCGATGCTGACTCACAGCGACCCAATAGTGCAGGGTAGAACTGCCTCTATGGGTTTCCAAGACTGCAACTCTTTATGGGAGTAGAGTTTTCTAGCCTCGTCTTTCTCCCTTGGAACAACAGGTGGTCTTGAACTGCAGACATTGTGGCTGCTAACCAGGACCATACATAAATTAGTATGAAGAATGTCTAGTGCCAGTATCAATTGGTGATAGAGGATTGGTATGCTAGGCTTTGACTTCATGGTCCTTCTTAGATAGTTTCTTCTCAAGAGTCCAATCAATGCTTTCATTACAGGACTGGAGGGAGGCCTAATAGAACTCCAGACATTCCCAGGTACATTCATCTTACACGGTCCATTTACCTAAGCAAGGTAAAGACCAATGAAAGGGTCAACATTGGCATTTTATATAATTAGGCTAACCCTCCACATGAAATACACACATGGCATACAGCTTACTAACGTTTCTATATATGGGATAGTCTGACTTACTTCGTCAAGCCATCTGTCATAAAGGAGTTATTGCTACTAGACAGTCCTCCTAATTCTGATATTTTGAGGAGATGAGGGGAAGTGACAGCACTGTAATTGTTTGCATTACAGAAGTCTA